CTGTAGCAGAATATAAACATCRATTCGTCTTTGACCTTAATTAATTCTAAGCCTCGGGACTTTTTCAAAACTCATACTTTAAGAGTGTGAAAATCTGTGTTGTTGAATCAATGTTAGGTATGTGTTGGATGATGTTCGGCTTATTTTCATTGTTTTTGCTAATCCAATAATATATAACATTATTTTATCATGATACACGAATCGTAGTGTCGGGCTATATTAACTATGATTTTAATGTTAAATAATATAATATCGGTACCTACGTGATGATGTTTTATGGTGGGCTATATTACAAATTCACAACACTAAACGTGCATTTTCAGCCTCTAATCATAGTGTAATAATATGTTTTCGACATAATAATAATTATTATTGTTTAAATCTTGCAAATTCATATCATGTTTAAAATATCTTATTCACGCCAAAAGATTGAAATTCAAAATACGTTGAAATTCGATTTCTTTCTTTTCCATTATAGTGGTGTTTCACCATATTATAATAATATTTCGATAAGATTATTTGATAGTGTTGTGTTGTCAAGTGAACAAGAATAAATAAGTTTAAAAAAAATCTACGAAACCGTGAGGTCCATATTTCATTATGCGAAATTTTTAAAATATAGTCGATTATTTTTTTTTTTTTTAATACAATCTCTATTGTATCGCCTATCATAATACAGTCATAATAATTCTTACGACTAAAAATTTAATAACCTATGTGGCAATTTAAAACCGAAAGCCTAATTTTTACAATGTACATTCATGCTCTTGGAATTTCCTTCTCTGAAGAAAATTTTGTACTCTTGTATTAATAAAATAATATAATATTACCTTGGTAGATATATACACAGGGACGGACGAATCGGTATACGACTGTGTTTAACGATAACTATAACAGATGTTTTTTCGTGTTTGAAATTTTTACTTGCATACCTACTTTTATTCTTTTACGAAGCGACGTAGGATACTACAAGCAGACATCTAGACAAAATATTTATAGGAACTTRTTGGTTTTTTTTAATATTAATTAGACACGGGGTCTGTGATACTTTACTTACTGTGTATCTTACCTTATAATAATAAACTATACCCTGAGATTTTGACCGCGTGGTTGTGAACCTGAAGAATATGATTCTAAAAATGTTTCTTGCTCTTATAGTCTTACCGCAATAATTCGTATACAACTCTGTATGTAGTGCGTATTATGAATTAACCAATTAACCCGTTAAAAGTTCCGTGCGACTCTCGGCCCTCCTGTCCTGGGCTGATAAGTCTTCGAGATACGTGCTTGTTATTATCAAATTACCTGACCCCTATGATATTCGAGTTCAGCGCGATATATTCATTATTTGTTTTTGGCTTTTCGTCCCAATTAAAACGCTCGGATACTAATAAACTGAGAGATGAACATCGTGAGAACGTCACGACCTATAATAGGTGCCCTCCGCGTCACCGCGTCCACAAGTACATATTGCCCCGCACACACTTATCACGTATACATCATACATGGACACTGCGTTACAACATTTTGTTTTTCAAACTCTTATACTTAAGGAACATGCGTAAGTGGTCGACTGCATTTAGGAACAATTTTCGGCCATTTYGTCTGGCCACAGAGAGTTTTTTCGTCATTCCTTGCCGACTGCGTTCGCTCTGAGATCCAAAAATAATATTTTTAATTCCGTCCATTTGAGTTGTTCTGAAAATTAATCGAGGAGTAACATAAAACGCTGTGCATCAGCGTATACAATGCGTGATAGAATTTAAGCTGGATTGTCTGATTACATTTTAATTAGGTATAGGTGTACCCTATMTACTCAAATCATGTCATAGATGGATAAAAATGAATGAAAACGTTTTATTTTCTAATGTTGAATTCGCTGAAATGAGTGATGCTGTCTACACATTTCTATTTTATTGTAGTTCTCTTATAGGTTTCTAAATACATGTTTAGAACACATTATATCCCCGTTGTATTCGTCCGTCCGTTATACGTCCGTTATACAGTATACTACATAATTATACTTTATACGATCAGTGCAGTATTGTCCGTAGTTACTTAAATTATGTACATGGAATTATAATGTATTGCACTATATTAAAATGTGTTTAGAAACCGTGAACTTAGCACGATCGCAGAGTAGGTACGCCTTCCTAACCTTGTTACTTTTGACATTAATCACGTCAAATTTTGCTGTAAAATTTAAAAAACAAAAAAACCATATTATATAGGTACAACATTATTAAACAATTAATATACAWATATAAAAACGATAGCATTATTTTGTTAGAAATTGACTTTTGACCCCATATAGCGATTACCCGCGTATACATATGATAATATTATTATACAAAGCTTTGATACGCCTGGGGGCCCGAGAAAACGTCGCGGACCTCGAGCGTCTGCGAAAGACGGATACTGCAGCCGCCACACCACATATACGGTTATATATGTACATGTATATTAAACGATCTTCTGTAGGCTTCTAAATCATGCGAGCAACATCTGGTGACGAGGAAACTCTCTCCGGGCTAATTTTATCGTGTTTTATTGCCGCGCGTTGTATTTCCCGTTCCGCGCGCATATTGAAGAGAGATCGAGCCACGCCACAAGAATGATTCATAAAGCCCAGTAATCATTATTATTATTATTATTACGACGGTTTGGTAGGGGGTGAGAAGACGAGGACGTCAGAGCAAGCACGGGTAGAAATAAGGCGTGTGCGGCTGCAGTATAGTCAGCATGTACATATACATATCTACTGCCGCCGTATAGCTGCGGTGTCGAGCTTTTGCTGCCAGCGAACGGTTGTACATTATGATATTTTATGTAATAAATCACTGTAGCGAAATACAAAACTGTGTAACAGATGTACTCTCGTTTAATAAACAATCCGCCACCGCCGCCGCCGCCGTTGACGTTGTCGTCGCAGATTCAACGCGCACTATACGCACGTAACAATACATATTATTATTATTATTATTATTATTACTATTATACACTGTTTGTCTGTTTATAGTAAATTATTATAGTATGTGCAGACGTATGTCTTATAGTAAAATAACATATAATATTAATCTCGTCGGGGTGGTGGCTGCTAGGTTGACAAAAACAATCGTTAAACTTAGTGTGTATATGAAATCTTATGATATTATAATCGGCTGGCAGAAAAAAATTATAATACATCGACATTACTTCTAATTCTGTGAGGAGAGTCGGGTCGCAATTCTCCGTCGAAAAAATACTCATTAACGTGCACTTATATACTACTTTATAGATACTATATATAGGTCAAATTTCGAACACGTAAAACCTAACCCTGCAATATACACTTATAATATAATATATAGTACTGTCACTCGCTAAAAATATGTATACTTATATTATGCTGTATGTATTAGGTTCGGTACTACACGCGCGAGATACCTACTCGAGTGAAATGTGTCTATTGTGAGTGCGTATTGTCCCGTCGCCTAGAGGTCTGTGTGTACATATTATACAGAGTTCAAAAGAAGAAATAACTCGTTTCGACTTCTTTTTAGAAACACTTCGGGACGTCTTTACAGCTAGCGTACACAACATATATAATATATAGTATATACGTATACGAGGACAACTACAAACAATCCCGAAAGTGTGAAACGCGTTTTTTATTTTWTTTTTTTTATAACGTAGGTATATAATTTATATGCGAGTGCTTGAGCTAAATACATTTTATATGACAATTTGTGAATAATAATAAGAATAATTCTGTATTATAATATATAATATGATAAGTAGAATCGTTTATCGCCAACTAGCGGTCAAAGTCAGGTGATTTATTTTTATGTAAGTGCAATTCAAAAAATAAACAATATAATTACAATAATGAAATAGTTTGCATGCATAAATAGTATGTATTATCGGTACGTTATAACGGATTGTCGAATTCAACTTTTGTGAAGATATTTAATGGTTTAGGTATATGATATTTTGCCGATGATAAATAACAATTATTTAGTATTTATTTCTAAGATATTATCGTTAGTTTTAAAACTGGCCAGCWCGTTAAATTTTCATATACAGTTATTATCTTGACTTCTTGGCCGTGTAATTTCGATGCGATGAAATCACTCTCACCAATAATTATTTTCGCCCAATATGATAGTCTGTTAAAAACCATATGTATGCGGAATAATATGTTTTTGAATTTACAATACTTATTAAGGACCTTGTTAGTGTTTATAAAAAGAGTGTATATAATTTACATTATAAATTCTCAGACGTACCTATATAATCAACTGTTGAATCAATCATAATATAAACGAGTTAAAGCCATGTTGTTGGTCAATATTTTACATACCTACGCGATAATAACTGACATCGGTCGATGTGCAAACTAACACGCGGTCCGACGTTCCTAGTCGGGTAAACAAAAAAAAATCACGTTCGAGAAAATATGGGTTCCAACGCAATTATATTGATTATGGCGGGTAATAATTTCCCGTGCGGTCATCTACGACTTCTCTGAGGTACAATTCGCTGTTTGTTTCATATATAAGTATATTTACAATACCTCGGTTGAAGTGAGACCCAGAAGCCAATATATTATTATTGTGTGTTGTAGTTTTGTGCCAAAAACCTATCACCGAGTACGTTGAACAAATTTCGATGTACACGTGTATTCTCTCTATCGACTTATTTGAACTATATTTTTCGATTTCATATCAAAAYGTTTKCGCTGCGATTTWAACGACGCAACGTTCACTGTACTTTATTGATCATATTAGTCGCCTTGTGTACAATGGCATCGACCATATTTGTAGTACTTATAAATAAACGTTWAACATAAATGTTGTTTGATATTATAGACTACCTATAATTATTATAATATTATAATATTATGGTGATCGTTTTTTTTTCTCGCCGTTCGRTTTGAATTTACACCCACCTACTGAAAGTCATTATAAAATATAAAATAATATACGGTTGTGATTTAATGTAATTTGTATTATTTACAGATACTGATCGGTAACATCAACACGTACTTAGAGCACAAACAAGAACTGAATCCTCCGATTTGGGCGTCGAAAATTAGATTCTTGCCGCACAGCTACCACACCCGACAGGTGTGCATGCGAGTCGAGCTCTACGGATGTCCGTGGACAGGTTAGTAGCATTAATATATTGTTGTTCTCCAATAAATTTTTCGTATGAAGGACATCTTTAATTTCAATATTATGTCACTATTATTCAAATCGATAATAATTCGTATAATGTGGTACGTGTTGTGTTCAGATGGCATTCTCAGTTACTCGATGCCGCAAGGCGATAAACGCAGTCCGGAATGGGAATTTTATGATTCCACGTACGACGGATATTGGGACGACGAATTGCAAAGWGGTCTTGGCCAACTGACCGATGGAAAAGTCGGAATGGATAATTTCAGAATGGGATATTATGACACTGAAAGAGGTAAGTACCTATACCTATACCCGTTGTTTTATATAATATTTTGATTATTGTATTTATTAAAAATTATCAAAACAGATGAATATAAGTAGGTGTAGGTAGATAAGTAAGGTAAGAAGAAAAATGGTATACATGTTATAAATTATTTTCTGTTGTAACAATTCTTATTATTTCATGTTTACGTAATATTTCACTTTTGATGGCATAGAAAATGAAAATGAATATTAATTATAACTGTTATAAGCCTATACCTATTTACTCACTTGAAAAAATAAACTTAAGTAAAAAATCAAAATATACAATAATTAATAATATATTATTATATTTTACGAGCTATGAATCAATAATTGTATTGTCGCGTACTACATAATGTATTTTAATATCTTTAAAACGGTAYTTATATTATTATTGTGTATTCATCGAACGGTACCGAACATTTGAAAATCTTTATAAATATCTCTGTTCGACCAAATAAAATATAGCTAACGATATTCCAATAATATTCTATCTCCTAGTTCAAAAACAAAATTTAATGTATCCATTTATACATAAATGTTTCGAAGTTTATCGTTGAATTTGGCGTTCGACGTTACATCACAGTTCAAACTAATGTATAATAAACTACTTATATTTGCCCATATTATACTCCAAGTTCTCAAACCTAAAATATATTCATGGGRCAAGTTTTTTCAAAGTCGGTGTAAACATTCCATAAACCACAATCGTTATGTTTGTTGCGTATTTCTAGTTTTCATGAATAATTCAATAAWAGCTTTTTATACAGAAGAAAAGAGACGACCACTTACTCTAGATCCGTGTGGTAGAAATAGTTTTTTTCCCAATTTTTTTTTTTTAACAATGCTATGTCCACCATATAACCTAATGGACCGTGGTAAACGGTCTCTTTATTTTCAAATTATATGAGAGGGTAAAACGTTGATTTTTTCCGATTCATATACCCAAACGATTCGGCTAATCGCAATAATATTATATATACTTACCGCCCATTCTCCATCGACCTTATTTTATGTAGCTAATATTTCATATTTTTTCCTCTCAGATAATGTTGGAGTTATTCAATTATTTTGATCTATAGATCAATATATAATATTATACAAAAAAATATTATTTTTCATGATAGTTACTTACTATGATCTTTAATAATTTATTTTCAGTGTACTGTCATAATATTTTATGTTACCTACATTATATTATAGTATCAAATGAAAGCATAAAATTATTTTATAAACAACATTAACAATATGCCTGTGATGTTATTATTATAATATCATATATGATATGATTTAATTTATTTTTTAAACAATTTGTATTATAATTTTGCATAAATTTCTAACAGGTATAACTTTTTCAGGTCAAGGATGGGTTGGTTGGAGAAATGATACGAGAAATGGTCAAGCGATAGAGATCAAATTTGAATTTGAYAAGATCCGAGAGTTCACCGGGGTTCATATATATTGTAACAACCAGTTTCAAAAAGAAGTACAGGTAAACTATTTCTCGTTCATAAAATAATTTAGGAACAGTATTATTATTTATTCATATTCGAGTTATATGGACTATACCCCTATATTGTGTTATATTTATTAACAATAATTTATTCTTTCTAAAGAATGTCGTATTTGCTGACGTCTAATCGAACCCATTAAAAAGCACCCTTGTATGCCACAGCGGTAACACAATTATAATTCGGCGTTGTCTAACCCCAAAGTAGAAACGAATTCAAAAATCCGATTATAAACTCACAATCTCCCCGGAGACAGTTGGTATATATATAAACTATACTTAGGAGGTGAGGAGAGAGTGAAATCTGCAAACGAATGCAAATTGCGTCTCGAAATTATTAATAATGATAATAATGACATGGCGAATTTATGGTAGAAAAYCCGGTAGTAGGTCTCAGGGATGACGGYGACGACGAATTCTGAGTCTCTTCTCTCGCCTTTAATATAACGATACAATTACGCGACTATAAACAGATTAACGTTTTGTATTTCGAAAATTCGACGTGTTCGGTGTGTGTTGAAACATTGGACGGCCATCAGACACGAGCAATTAAGGACGTACCTTCTGCTGTCCATCGATAAAAGGGACGTACGTTAGGGGAGGTTTGTACACGCAGACGTAAATGGTTGTCTGTAAATATACGACTGAAATATATAATATAAATATCGATTAAAGGGGTCCAGGAGTATCTAATGTGTGATCCATTATCCGTGTATTAAGAACAAATATATACATATATAGATATATATGTATATATCTATATTTATATAGATATTTTATATAGATATCTGCGTAAATAAAAATTACAAAAATTTCCAAGTTAGTGTTTTTATATTTTATCCTTTTTTCTCGTCGAAAAATCAAAAGCTTATCAATATTACACAATATATTATATTATAGAATTATGATTTGATAACACGATTTTACTCGACATCTTATCGACACAACAATTCGAGATAAACTATATTTTCACAATAAACAATGTTCAACAATTTATACAAGCATTCGTGAATAAAATTATTGCCTTATAACTTTATAAGTCTAATCTATGATGATGATGACTACCATATTTTATTTTTTGAGACTCTTAAAGTAGCTTGTGATAATATTCTCCTATCTTTGGACACCCCTGGTAAATGCGTACGTTACACATAGATACACACAATTATGTTGGTGCGCGGGGGATGGGTCGGTCGTGAACGCGTTATTGTTGTATTGAGTTGTTTTACTAGGGGATTTTACGATAATTAACAGATAACAATCTATGTAAGCTGCTCTTGCACCACGTCCTGCACGTGTTATGCCGAGACCATTGTTTGGCTGTATAGAAACACAGAACACACACGTGACCATTCGCACATTGACCTTTAAAAATGAATTTTTTTTTTCAAACTCATTAAGCCGTACCTATATTAAAATGTGAAACAACTACAATAATAATATATTTTTCCAACGCTCCGATCGTTTCTCAACTGCGACGAGCCGCAGTGTGCTGCAATTGATCAACGGATATATAATCGGTTTGCCCGTTTTGGAGAGTTCAAATCACGCACGTGCAATGACAAAATAGGAAATACTACGGTTGCATTAATTATAATAATCCGTAGGTTAAAAACGGTCCACCTAATCACTGTTACAGTTTAGGTACACGCGGTCCAAATCAACGACATCGTTAACGTATTGCAAAAACGGCATACCTATACTAATCCTCAATACGCAACAACATCACATCCGAACCAATTAATTTAACAATTATAAATTTTAGTCGTAGAAACGTATATTATTATTATTAATCTATGTATCTATTAATAACTATATATATTTTACATGCATACCGTAGGGTCGTTGCCAACTATAATATACCAAGAGTTGTGTACATTTCTCATAAACTAGTTTCAACATTTCCCATTCGCTGCTTAAAAACGACTTAAACAAGTCGCAAAAGTTTTTTGTGCCTCTAATTGCGTTATTCATTCCCCGTTACAAATCTGAAAACTTTTATGGGCTATTGGCCAAAGCAAACCTCGCGCTTTCTAGATGCCTGTACACCACTGTCCTAATGTCAGAATTTTTTTTTCTTGAAAACTAATTTCTTAAAACTTTCTCGGAATGTTATTGGCTTTTTTCGCATTACATGTAATTTAATCAACAGCGTTTGTAATCTTAAAGTGCTCCTTAAAATTAGACGCACCCTATTACAGCGTTATATATCTTACCCTATCACTTTCGATTAGTGATGAGAGGTTCGCTTTAATTTCGCGCACGTATGCCGAAATGAGTTTTAGCATATTATACACACATACCTAATCGTCAAACCTCATCATGCATATAATATTTATTARACTTTTGATAAAATAACGCCGCATCAACATGCGTGGTGTATATAGCAGAATATTACTAGACCCGATCGAAATCTGCAGCGTAATAATGTTCTGCGATATAACATATATATATACAACACAATAAAATTCCGTCGGGACCTAAGACTTCTTAATCCCATTATATATTTTTCATTATATTTTCAGTTTTTACTTTCGTGTAATCATCATAAGCTATTAGATTTTGATCGACACAATAATATATTCACTTACCGGTGTAATTTATTGTGTAATGAACATAGGTAMAAGTGTGTCAGTGTGGTGTTACAAAATTTAAATATAATATAATTTTGGTAAACTCGTGGGCTTAGTATAAATAATTTATATATTCTATATATTTTAACAAAAAACAAAACAAAAAAACCGCGCGTATTTACGAAACGTATACATGATGGGAACGAAAAACGGGCGTTAATACTTAATATCGCTGAGATGCGCCTTACAGACGAGGGGAAAGGGTGACCGATTTGTAAAACAAAACRTTAAATATTTATACTCCCGAGGATATTGTATATTGTTGTCCCCGACAAAAGGAATTTCGAGTACAACAATGATTTACGTATTATTTTAACAGTATTTTAACCGACGGCACGTGGACGCTATACTGCTATAGTAAATCTTCCAATGATGTGTTGACACTGCGTCCGCCAGTAATGAAGATTCATGTGGTACATTAACTGAGACCGTCCTACAAGATATTTTGATACTAGAATAAAACCTACTGCCATAGACTATTAGCATGTACGGGGCCAAAACACGCAATAAATCACCGTATGCTCGAGGTCTCGACATATATATATATACATAATATAATACACGGACAATGTGCCGTAATAGCCGTTAGCGTGTGTTGGTGTGTGGTGTGTACCTACCTATATATTGTCACATTTTATATAGTCACAGATTATTGATTGGTGGTTGGCGTCGGAACGCGAAATATATTTTCTAGTTTCGAGATTGTCTCGTCTCATCATATGTAATATGAAAAAATCTGTATTCCCCATAATACAGACGTGCACAGCTATACGTTAGTGTTCTCTGTTCTGACGCACGCACGCTGCACGCTGGCGTGGAATGAAAGTATTGTAAACTCGAAATTGGCTTACAATTTACAAACGTTTGTGGAATAAAACGATATGAGGTTTATTTATCTATTGGTTTTTTTTTTTATATAGAAAAGCAACTCGTCGTCGACGACTATAGTATATACGTCTTTTCCGTCGATATTGTTATTATGTCGTACACGGAGATTTTAATAGAAATTTCGAATTTCAGGTGTTCTCCGAAGCGAGTATTTTATTCAGCGTGGGAGGAAAAGTGTAYTCGTCAGAACCATTGACTTACACCTACATGGAAGACAGGATATTTGAGTCGTCCAGAAATGTCAGCATCAAGTTGCACAGGAGAGTCGGCCGTTTCATTAAGCTTAGGCTGTCTTTTGCTGCCAAATGGATCATGATCAGCGAGATAACTTTCGATTCTGGTAAATATAACTAATATAATATGCATTGTAATTAGTGTTGAAAAAATGTATTTTAATAAAATCAACCAAGTGCATATCCTTAATAAGAAATCACTGAAATTAATTACAGAGCAACTGATTTTGAATTATTTATAATATTCATAGAAAAGTAAGTTACTAGGTTGATTTTTTCGGTTTGAAAAATCTAATGGGGTCGACTCGCTAGTCGCTACAATACTTCTGTATGCATTCCATGCGTTTGTCTAATTATAAACGCGTAGTTTCACGAACCCTGATATTTTTAATACCTATTAAAGTGAACCATTATTATTATATGGTCGACAATTCAGGCTCATATATCACTACTCGGCCACATTTTAAAGCACAGCTGGATTGATGTGGTCTGTGACTTTTTTAATCCCGGTGAATTTTTGTATTCTGGATTTCTCCTCGCTCTCCGCTTTTAATCAAATAAATAAATAATATGGTGAATATGCCAGGTCGGCGTACCAGAAATAACTCGAGTGTGTTAATCGAAAGCATTCGACTGAAAACATGCTTATTTATACCTGCTCGAGTACGCCCTTCCCCTACCCAAAACGCACCCTTCCCGCTATCTTGCACATTCCGCGTTTAAACAGAACACTGTATTTTATTTTATGAAAAAAAAAAAAAATTCTGCAATATAGACTCGCATCTTGTACGACCCTCGTATGTACATAAAATATGCATATATATTTTTTAAGTGAGATGAATATGCATATAATAATATGAAGGCAATATAAAGTGTTACTGCGAGCGTGAATACGCACTACGGTATACAATATAAAATCAAAATGAAATCTTGACGGACGCGTTTGATATTTAAAACTTTAAAAGTAGATTTCTTATTAGGTAATGATAGCAGGTATGTTAGAACTTTTTCTATCTCACACTATGAAATATAAGAGCATATTATCATTTTTTATTAATATTAACTATTATAAAAAAAATCATATATTTCTGAAGTGCAAGATGTACCTACCGATGWARAGTATATACTTAAAACTCAACTAAAGAAAAATCATAAAAAAAAAWTCTACTTTTGCTTTACACTAGGACAGGTGACTAAATGACGACAGTTCTTAGGAAATTAAAAAAAATAAATAAGTGTTTTATATATAACCAGGAAATATGACATCCCCTTGTCCCGTGGGAAACAATAAGTAGTCGAGAAAATGGAAAAAGTAACATAAATCTCGAGAGGGTTACGTATTTATTTTCATTTTTTCCATCTACTTTTGTCTTGTTTGGTTTTTTTAATATATATATATATTTTTATTACACTGCAGCATAAGAAGATTTATAGCTTACCTGAACGTTTTCGGGGTGTAGGCAAAAGTGGTAATGGGAAAATCGCCCGGGCCCCATGCCGTATGTCTGCGAGAATATATACGAGCGCTGTCGACGGCAAATGGGAAAAACGGTTCGGTAACGGAAATATATAGTTACGCTGTAGGATACAAATCCCTCAAAGATACATACGACGTAGTTGCAAAATAAAATTRTACTCAAACGCAAACGACACACGAAACATTGTCTAATTTATAATGTATATTAGTAGGTAGGTTTTTGCCGATGAGAACAAAACATGAATCGATTTTTCATCGTTCACTAAAACATCATTGCCACCGCTCGGCTCGATATTTATATTTATTATTATGATAATCACCTTACATTTGTTGCCTTTTCGTTCTCAAAACATGGTTGGTATTTTTTTGTTATCCTCTTGTTATTCTAAATCCAAACGTCTTTTTTTTATTCACTGTATACGACTAAAACGTTTGATTGTACCTACGTCAAGTTTTTAATTATTCTAGTAAAATTATACTTACTCCGTCGGTCCGCTGGACTGCACGGTCGTTGCCGTTATGTTGGTGGAGAAATAATCTTTCAATTATATGTACTATTCGTAGCCGGTTTTACGAATCGTTTAAACCACTTAAAAACAACCACAAACTCCGAGATTTAAGACTTTAAACTCTTACTCGTTTCAATTACCAAAAACAAAGGTCATAAACGTTGTCGGCGTCTTCATTTGGACACCCTCGCTGCGGAGACAGATGTATGTAATGGGTAAGGGGAAATGGTTAGATGGCTCGCGGAAACAACCTTTTTAATATCGACCCTAATAACGGTTTTATTTTCTCTTTCCTTATTTTTGCCCCTACAAAGGATCCGGTGAAGGGCATTTTAAAGGAATTTCTAGCCACGTGCTCATAATATTATACGTAGTAGGTTATGGTGAGGTGTAGATTTATGAGAAAAGTTTTGCATAAAGATGTTACCATGATATACTTTGATCTGCTTGTGTAATGTGTGCTTTACATAATTTTCCTTCTTAAATGTTTCGCGTTGTGTGTTGTAATACTTATTAGCTAAAATCTTAAAGCAGTAGTTTTAAATTATCCAAGAGTAGGCTGCAAACATAAAAACGTGTATAAATTTGTTTTATTAATATCCTAAATACCTTTAATAGTCAAAGGTATGACAAAAATAATTAATAAGCTATTTTATTTTCCATTTAATCAATCATTTTTCTGTTTTGTGATTAAGATTATACCCGAATTCCATACATTCATAAAATAATTGCACTTGAAATTAAATTTAAAATTGGATTTTAATTTTTATCTGTACCTATAACAAAATAATAAAAATCGTAAAATATTATAATAACGTTTTTTTCGCGTCGGTAGTTTTTATTCACTCGGAAGCAGGATAACTATTATATTTCCATTATTTAATTTTCCATTATTTAATTTTCCTGAATATTTTGCGTTTTATTCTTATATTTTAATAATTTTTGGTGCTCGCATAAAAAAGTGCAAGAGCCGAGCTGGTTTTTTAAATCGTCGAACCGAGTATTTTTAATTAAGAACTTTATATAAGTTGCCTGTCCACTGGGATAATAATGACAACGAAAATTGCGAGACCCTTAATTGCCGCGGTTTTTGAGGTGCTCTTGAACAATGGGCCTACGTAATTGCTTCTGGGCCCTCCTACTATCCCCATTCCCATTATCTCGGTCTACCCGCTTTAAATTCGTTGCTTTTTAACTGTGAAAGACATTCGTTATGCAATGGTGCCAAACCGTGTGCCCCCTTTTACACTCTTGTACACATGCAAATTAATTGCCACACACAATACTGGATGTGAGTATACATGCTTTAGAAAAATGCCTTAAATATAAATAGTCACTGTATAGTATAGGTATTCTGAATTATATCACAAAACACGACATTCGATAGATTTAAATTTGTAATAACTAAATTAAAATACTTTAAAATATGAAATCTTGATTTTATTGTCAATTGGTAGTTATTTAATTTTTACGAACTTTAAGTTGTAATCAATTTYCTAACCCAATCTTAGTGTTGTCATCGTACTCTACACTAATACTCTTTGGGATATTATTGCTAGGTATAGTTAAACTTATTAGTTTTATCAAAATAATTTGGATAGCTTTTAAAAAGTGTCTCTAAACATTAACCATTTTTATAACAATCAAAATGGTATTATTATGACGATGATTATGCAATGTTACTAATTAAAATAATTTAACACTAATACAAAGTGTTATATTTTCTTACTGACCATAATATTCTGTTACAAACAGACGTGGATTTTAAATTTCCGGCTATTTATATTTTTCAGATGTCGCACAGGGCAACTTCTCTGAGGAAAGTGTTGTGCCACCAGAACCACCAATTCAAAAGGACGGATCAGCAACGAAAGACCATCAGGATCCTCTGAGACCAGAACTTCCAAGTACGGCAACTATAAAATATTATTATGATAATAAAAAATTGCGCATAATACATAAATTGTTATTAGGGCATATTTTTTAAAGGTGCATATTTTTTAATCATGTGATTTTATACAATTTGTGATGAAAATTAAAATAGGTACTCACCGTATCTATGTTTAATTGTGCATTTACAGAGTTATTTATAAGTGGTACATTGAAGAGACCGCTATTGGTTTTTTTTTCTATTATTATTGCAACTCGAATTGAGTACATACAAATTTTATTTTTCAGTTATGGCAAGCATACTATTATGATAAAATTTCAACCTTAGTAATTAGATATAATACGATACTTATCTTTTATTTCTGAACGATGTTCGTCATTCCGTAAACGATAATAATACATAATATCCATGTCTAATTATGTGCCATTCGTTTTTTTCTCAGTCCCCACAGCCAAAGACGAGGACCAGACTTACATGGCGATCATCATCGGCGTGCTGATGGCTGTCATCATACTGCTAGCAGTAGCTATTTTCCTAATCGTGTCTCGGCACCGACGGAGGAAGTGCTTTGCTAGCCCGTTGGTAGGCAAGAGTGCGCTRGCCACGGGCAACGGATGTCCGGGAATGTCGTCGGGCAGCAGCTGCGGCACTGGCGGAAGTTACAAGGAAGCCGGAACAGGCAGCTCGGTCAGCCACCACGGCGGCACCGGCCACGGTCATCCGGCAGGCGCTGTCAACGCTCACCTGCACGATATGGACAGACTGATCCAGTTGGACGCCGAACCTTACCAGGAACCGTACCACGCGCACACGCCGTTCTACAGTTACAGTACYGTAGTGGTTGGCCGCAACATGGATTCGGGTAGTRAGTATAATAATAATATCAGATTATAATTGTACTTTTTTATTAAATCAAATTAATTTATTGAAACTTKTTTTACAATGAACCCGAAATGAACTTCTTAAAYATTAAAAAACCGTGTTAATTTACATAATTAATCGCATGATGGTTTTCATCTCTCTCTGCACATCGCCTACGTACATTTCATCAAGGAAAGTTAATACAAACTATTAATTTATCAAAATAATTAATTAATACARCATAATTATTTAGTTTAACTACTATAAAGCTCAACTGAACTTTTAGGTGTTAGTTCACCACTAATTATTTGAATTACAATTAATATTCGTTATGCCAAACCCAAATATCCTGAATAAAAAAAAATCAT